AATCAGAAACGCAGCATGCCGAGATTTTGTGTTCGTTTTTATTTCAAACTTCGTTTATTTAGAATATATTTTCGTTACCAATAAAATAAAAATCTCTCAGTCAATCAGAAACCCGGATTCATGCCTTCGAGGAAGGTCCCGTTTGAACGCTCACATCGTTTTTTTTTTCGTTTGTGGGAAAACTAAAACTGGTCGCAATTTTCGAATAAGAATGAGTCGGCAATTTTTAGTGGAATCGAAAATTTGGAGGTAAATAAAACACCGAAACCCGGCAAATAAATAGGCGATCGAATTTTTAGAGGGGTCGAAATTTTGGAGTTTTCACGGTACTAATTATTCCATTTCAATGAAACTTAGTATAAAGATGCTCTAGGACAATGTACAAACCTAATTAGTTTGGGGTAAAAATCTGTTCATATTAATTCCCTAATAAGCATAATAATTCATAATTTTTTGGTTCTAATCACATTTCAATTAAACTTGGAGACATAGATTTTCTGTTACATTGCGCAGACCTCATTAGTTTTACACTCAAATCTGGTCATATTAATTTTCTGATTTGCATAATTAGTTTTCAGCTAAGTAATTTCGAATTATATTTAATGTGTCTCCAATACTCTCAGCACATGGGAGTTCTTTCTAAGCTTTCTTTGATTTCTGTTGATTTTGATATGAACATGGAGGAGTACAGCAAGCGATGTCTTAATATTATAAATTTCTAGTAGTCCACTTGTGCTACATTTTTTTTTTTAATGGTAGCCCTAGGACAAGAGTTGGTAGTAAGACACCTTAGGCTACTGTTAATTTTGAGCCATGACTAGTTGCAGGTAGTTTTTATGTTTTTGATATTATTGTCTCACATGGCATTATTAATGTGATAAATGTAATTCCAAGAAAGCTATCATATGTGTATATCCCCCAATACCAAATATACATTGACAACATTGACAAGGGAAGTCAGGTATGTGTGTTACCTAGCAACCATACACCTATAGTAACCTGTTAAATGCTTAATTGTATCTTAACTTTTTAACCCATCATCAAATTTTTTTCATTGACAAAGACTTTTTTTTATTTTTGTGCCTTGCGACTTATATTGAATGTTATTGTTGTCTCTTCTGACTTTCTTTAAATATGCAAATATGCAAATTGCATTCTGACACATGGTCAATATTCATATGTCAAATATTTAAAAAATAAATAAAAAATCGCCTAGCCACACAATTTTCATAAAATAATTTGACCACAAGCATTTTTTAAATGGTGGCCTTATGGCAATTTCATGTGCTATCCATGTGTTAACCAGGCCTGGTCAAACACAACCTTCTACAGACCTTAAAGTTGCATCTATCCGTGAATGAATGAATGGCTTTGGCCTCCACATTAAGGGCAGATTTTAACTTCTTTTCAGGATTGAAAGTTGAGTCTATTGATTATACTGATCTAACACGCAACAGATATGCTACCAGTGATCTAGTTTATTAGCTTACAAAAGAATTGATTACATGTATAACATCACTGTTCACTGACTATCATTCTCTGTTTTTACTTTCTCTCAGAGATTACAGAAAATCGGTGCTTCTGGTGAATATTTACGTATTTATGTTGAAGGTGGTGGATGTTCAGGTTTTCAGTACAAATTTGATATAGACACCAAAGTAGAAGAAGATGACAGGTGATTATAATACAATATGCTTCTGATGTTATAACTTTGTTAATATTACACTGTTAGTTATTGCCATGTCTGAGTATCAATGCAATAGGTTTCAGGCAAAGGTTAGAAACAACGACTAGTGGTATAGTCTCCTTGTGTCCGCCTGTTCATTCGTATGTCCTAAGCTGTATCTCAGACATACCTTAACTGATTTTCTTCAAACCTTACTTATACCAAGTTTCATATATGAAGTCAGAAAATGTGTACTTATGGATTGACCTCTGTGCGTGCGTCCGTGCATCCGTCCGTCCTTCCTTCCTCCCTCATCCAGCCTTATTTCGCACATACTTGGACCAATTAAGTGCAAATTTCACAGATATGTCAGTCATTATATTGGACATGTGCACATGCATTTGTTTCATGATCTAATTTAAGATAGCAGAATGGCAGCCATTTTGAAGGTAAAAAATGTATCAAAAGCACACATTTTCACCAAACCGAAACTCAGTTCTTCAAACTTGGTATATACCATAACATTCAACATAATGGGACCATGATGCACGCCATTTCATTTTTCGAATCGGGCTCAATCAAAAAGGCGGTCATTTTGTTTTGAAGAATGCAATTCCTGATCCATATATCCGACATGCCTGGAACAACTTTACATACATGAGATACATCAGATATCATGTCGAATAAATCTAAAATGGCTGCATTTATTCGCTCACTTATTGAAAACATCGACCACTCGCTCAAACAGTGATTACTGGCATATGAGTGGTCGGATTGATGTTTTTAATAGTAAAGTTTGAGAATATAATGATCATTTCTGGAAAATATTAGTCGGACACTTATGTTTTGATTCATTGACCATTCTCAATCAAAACTTCACACATACATCATACATGATATTATACATGTGAACATCAATTTGTTTCACAATCAGATTCAAGATGGCCGAATGGTGGCCATTTTTGTTCTAAAAATCATCAAAATCAAGCATTTCTCTGCTGTTTACAGATGGATTTTGTTAGTCTTTGTTCAGACGCAGTCCGAAAACGGGGACTTATGTTTTGACCTCCGTGCGTGTGTGCGTCTGTGCGTGTGTCCGGACCTGTATCTTAGAAATGCCTGGACCAATCACAATCAAACTTCACACATACATCATACATGATATTATACATATGCACGTCAATTTGTTTCTTGATCTGATTCAAGATGGCCGAATGGCGGCCATTTTTGTGCTAAAAATCATCAAAATCAAGCATTTCTCGGCTGTTTACTGATGGATTTTGTTCAAACTTGGTATATACATTAGAAATTGTAGGACCTTGATGCACATCATTTTGTTTTACAATCTGATTCAAGATGGTCGAATGGCGGCCATGTTTGTGCTAAAAATCATCAAAATCAAGCATTTCTCGGCTGTTTACAGATGGATTTTGTTCAAACTTGGTATATACATTGGACATTGTAGGACCTTAATGCACATCATTTTGTTTTACAATCTGATTCAAGATGGCCGAATGGCGGCCATTTTTGTGCTAAAAAATCCTAAAAATCAAACATTTCTCGGCTGTTTACAGATGGATTTTGTTCAAACTTGGTATATACATTAGACATTATGGGACCTTGATGCAAATAATTTTGTTTTTCAGATAAGATTAAAAATAGCCGACTGGTGGCCATTTTGTTTTAATGAATGTGGTTCTCGTGCCATATCTCTGACTTGCTTTCACTGATTATGTTCGAATTTTAAATACATTATGTCATAGATAGACAGATATATTGGTTTGACGATCCTATTCAAAATGGCACGATTGTGGCCATTTTTGTGCTAAAAAATCATCAAATATCAAGCATTTATGGATGGATTTCGTTCAAACTTAATACATATATTAATCATTACAGGTTCCTGGTGCACATCATTTATTTTTCAGCTTGGATTCAAAATGGTTTTCTGGTGGCCATTTTGTTTTAATGACCCATATCTAGACCCATATCTCCGACTTGTTTTGACTGATTATATTCAAATTTTAAATATTCATTATACATCATATCATATACATGTATAACCATGTATTCAAAATGGCTGATTTTGAATGCTGTTCCAGAGCAATATCTCTCAATATGAACACATACTTTTTTGACGATCAGATACAAATGTCAATAATTTTAATGTTAAAAAATCATATTCCTGACATGGTTATATTCCAGCTACCGTATATTACTATAAACAAAACTATATATCTTAAATTTGATAACTAACGGAGACTGTGCCCTGCATGGCTTGTTCAAACTTGGTATATACGTTGGACATTAGAGGACCTTGATGCACATCATTTTGTTTTAATAAATGTGGTTCTAGTGCCATATCTCTGACTTGCTGCTACTGATTATGTTAAAATTTTAAATATTTATTATACATCATGTCATATATATACAGATATATTGGTTTGACGATCCTATCAAAAATGCTCGAATGGTGGCCATTTTTATGCTAAAAAATCATCAAATAATAAGCATTTCTGGCATTTATGGATGGATTTTGTTCAAACTTGGTACATACATTAGACATTACGGGTTCCTGATGCACGTTATTTAATTTTTTAGATCAGATTCAGAATGGCTGACTAGTGGCCATTTTGTTTTAATGAATGGGCTTCTAGAGCCATATCTCTGACATGCTTTTACTATGTTCAAATTTTATATATTTATTATACATATATTCAAAATAGCTGATTTTGTTTTAATTAATGCTGTTCCAGAGCAATATCTCTCAATACTCGTTTGACGATCAGATACAAACGTCAATCATTTAAATGTTAAACAGTCATCATAATCATATTCCTGACATGTTTATATTCCAGCTATATTACTATTCTTACTATTACTATTCAGCTACTATTCGATAACTAACGAGGACTGTGCCATGCATGGCTTGTTAAATTCTGAATGTATACTTTGAATCATTCATGAACTGTGTGATTTGAATACTCAGATGCTTGTTTGAGCAAATTAAATGTTTTATTTTATGGTAATGGAAATGAATGGAATTTGGAATGGTAGTGTGACTGTGGACAGTTCAATGGAAAAATGTGTTTGTGATTTTATAATGCATGTGTAATGTGTATTCATCATTTTCCACACCATACTGATGGAGGGACAGTATTCCAATTGTATCCAGGGACGCTACTTTCAATAATGACAGAAAAATGGTGACTACTGTATATTGGCCAGCAAGAAGAGAAACAAAGAAAATATTGATGTGGTTTCAGTCCAAACATAACAATGCCAAAGTCACATTGGTCAGGCACAATTATTCACTATCAGTTGCTGAGCTTGATCTTTGATTTATATACTAAACCATGATCCCATGAATTATTGCCATTGTCATGGGTGATTGTGTTGAATGGGTTTGCACAGTTAGAAATAAAGTAGAAATTATCAAGTAATTTCAACAAGCTATCACAAACAGAAAAAAAGCAATCCAAAAGCAGAAGCGATCAAGTGGAAGGTTGGGCGGAATGAGTACTGCATATCACACATCAGGTCATATGTCATCTCGCAACTATACTACAAACAGGGACCATGTCATTGAAAATGACTTCTATTATTTACTACTTTGCATATTACCTGCACTTATGGAACAGATGATTGTATGCTTTGGAGTGGGTTTATGATTATAAAAAAATCGATAGGCAAAAGGCTAAGTGACATCACTCAATCAACCAGCTATTAAAGAGAATAGAATAGAATGATGCTTTATTACATCCTTAATGAAATCTGACATTTCAGTTTTGGTATTTGATGTATTAAAGCTATACGAACAAGTGATATCAGGTGATATAACAACATTACACGTATTACTCATGTACATGTGGCAGTTTTACCAAATGGTACAGAGTAACATTGTCTTTGAATGAACCTTCTTGTCTGCTTCTGTGAGTGTCTTGCTGTCAATATTTATCTCTACCATTACCAGCAATGACAGATTATGTTGATTAGAATTAGGTTCATTAAATCAATGTAATCATATTTTGTCACTTCCATAAATTATTTTTCTGAATATTGGTTAAAAGGCGATGGTTGTCGTGCTACGCATGCGAGACATTTGGGTTGATAAACATTGATTTTCCCACAATCCAATGTTTTACCTGGACGCGACTTGCACTAATTTCCGCCAGTGACTCCTTCGACACCTTCCAATCACCTAAAAAATACCTAATTAAAGCTTGCATGGTGACGTCTCAGTTTGTACTCGTTGATCTGTGCAACAGCAATGTCGCCTTATTTGTTTATATGAGACCTATATATCTCGCGCATATGTGGCGCGACGACTACCGCCCTTTAAAAGTTCAAAAATTTGTTTTGTTTCAGATTATTTGAACGTGATGGTGTGGGTTTAGTTGTGGATGTTGAGTCATTGGAATATTTGAAAGGATCTACAATTGACTATCAAGAGGAACTGATTCGATCAGCATTTCAGGTTGTAAAGAATCCAAAAGCAGAACATGGATGTTCTTGTGGAGCCTCATTTTCACTGAAAGTTTGAGATAGTGAAAGCTTCATGTTAAATTATATAAATTTCATATTGACAAACAAGGAGTGAAAATCTGGCATGTGTGATTAGTGCTTTCACATCAATTTGTTCAATATAGTATACACAATTCACTCATTATTTACCGTTAGTAAGAGCCCCGTGCAAGTATTTTTTTCAAAATCTGTTATCTAACACACACACACACAAATAAAAGTTGTATATTAAAAACAAAAACACAGCTTATATCTTGAATAATGTAGCTTCATCAGATTGTTTTCAGTGATTATGAAACTGGTTAATTTCATTTCACTGAAGAAAAAAAAAAAATGGAAAAGCGCCCTCTGTGATGTATATTATACTTTAACAGTTTGCACAGATCCATTCAGTGCAGTGTTGCTTTGGGTATTTGTTAGCTTTCATATTTTATTTACAATATCTTTTGTTTTTCTTTGAATGTTTTGAAATACTTTTCCCACTAATACAATGAACGGTAGAAACCCAGGGACATAAAAGTTCTATAAATATAATAAATTCAGAATGACGGTTACATTTCAACTTGACCAATCCAGAAATGGTATCATATAATTAATATATGCATGCTAATATGGGTGTAGACAATGCTCTTGAGCCAATCAGTCAAATAATTGAATTTGAAAGAAAGTCTATGATCGATATTTACAATTTTTTTTATAAACAATATTCTGCTTTTCAATGTATTCTCAATGCAAATATTACAATGTAGTCAAGGTTATTAATATGTTTGAACCATGCTTCTGTAATACTTCAATAAATACAATTATCTAACAAGTTGTACTTGCACTTTACTGTCTGAGCCTTGTATCGAAGTGAAATCCGATAACTAAGAATTTATGACATTACTTAATGTTTTTTTCTTGATATACACAATAGATGATTATGATTATGTTTCACACAAATATGGAACACTTGTACATTAGGTCAATGTCTGCAGAACTAAATATTTGTGAAGCAGTCACAAGGTACAAAATATTTGGTGATATTTAATATAACAGTCGTGGGCATTATTGAATAATTGCTATGATTCAGTGATAATGCATCCTCTAGAGACAATTCTTGGCTACTGTTCATGCATTACATACTTCAAAAGCACAACATGTACCGGTATAGTGTTTGGTTTAACAGTTAGCTGCATAGAATGCAAAATAATTGCAAATAATTCTTCTTTAATCTGACATTGCCTATATACTTCCAACTTAAGGTAGCGGGACTATTTGCATACTTGTTTTCATCTTCTAATTGTGACCAAATGACTACAAATAGACCCAGGAAAGTATATATTTTTAGAATCGCCAGACTTCAAGCTTTACAAAGGTGTGTTTGCCATGCCCGTATCTGCATTCTATGACCCGCTACTTAATCAAAGGTGAAAAATTACTTTTTCTGTAAAAAAAATAATTGCGCATTTATGCTGGCGATAAGAAGTATTTTTTTCACTTTTTCTAGTTGTTCAATAGTCTGGTAAATTGAATGTGTCTGGTCAGTTTTATGCAAGCAACGCGTTT